ACTCTCAAGAGATGTAATTAATATATAAATATTAATAACAAAATTCTAATAAGTTAATTTTAGGTTTAAGGATTAAAGATTTAGGGTATTTATTGATCCTAATCATTATACTTTATAGTTCTTCTTTAAAAATTTCAAATAGATATATACAAGTGAAATTGGACAAATTAACATTACACATAGCTTTAATATATATTGCCTAATGAAGATGGGGTCAAGAAAAGCCTAATTGCCCATCATTTTCCCTTATAAAGACTTGTATTATTTAAAAGATAGTGTCGCCTAATCAAATTCTAAACTCCCCTAATTGATGAACCCCTAGTCTGTAGGCTTTTCAAATCTCAGGATACTCTAAAATAATCCTTAGCCAATCTTACCAAGACAGTAAGTACTAATAAGTCTGATTAGTGTAGATTTGACTCTTACGATCCCATCACATATCATTAAGGACAAGAAAACAATTACTGAACCTTGGTAAAATTTGAAACAAATTAGAGGAGTATTAGTTACTCCAAATCACTCGAGGCAAGTAGTTAGCAGGCCATATAGAGCAATCATTTCTCAAAGGGGTAAGTGAAAAAAGAGGAAACCAATAAACACTTGATTAAGATTCTATACCAGTTTCTTAAAACCAACTCCTAGTTTTCCATAAATGTCAACAACACCATCGATTATATTATCCTTGGCATATCTGTCATAATAACTTCATGTGAAATTTTATACAAAGAAGATAATCAAGCTTATGAAGTTGTTTTCATACAATATTTTAGTCAGTTTAAAAATGGTACATATTCTTAGTGTAGAAGAAAGCTTAGTCAAGCTCAGGACCAATGTTTCTTTATGAAAATCTGGGAGACTATATGAAAGAAATGTTTGGGGATCCCAAGAAAAGAAAAGCACACAAAAGTATGACACAGAACTCAAAGAAGAACAATGACAACACAATCTTTTTCTTGAAACATCACTCAGAAAACATCAGTCTCTCTTTTCTCAAATCCCCAAAACACTCTCATTGAGAAAAGAGAAATAAAATAACAGGGTATTCCAAAAGAAGCACAGCTCTAAAACGACCAAGCACATGGTATTACAGATTTTCCTCCTAGTTTGCACAAGATTTTTTTGGCTTACGACAAAACTTAGGCACCGTTGATGGTATAAGGAATGGGGACGAGAGATGCATTACCTGGTCAAGAGAATTGATAATCATGTGTATCTCCCTTTCATGCATTATAGCGAAACAACTTGCAGAGAATGGATGATCTACACATTAACAAACCATCTATCTATTGAGAACTTTTCAAGAATTTTTTTGTAAAAGATTGTTGGAGAAGTAAGAAGTTGTTTATTGCAACTTATCAACACAGCTAGAAGCAAACTTCACCGTTCGCGATAATATGATCTTATTTGACTGACTCAAACACACGTGCACGGAGCTCAGTCTGCATATATTAGCATAAATGTAAGATATTATCGATTCCTTTTCATATTAATATTATACTTTGAAATTCACATTAAAATTTGATAGTATACTTATAATAAATGTAAGATATTATAATGAATAAACGAGTGTTTCTATAATCTTTTACTAGTTTTGGATATTTCCTGCGATATTATTTTAAACCCATCTAGAATAAATTACCAACAACAAGTCAATAGAATAAAGAAAAATATTTTTGGCTCAAATTCAACATTCCAGATACATTTGGTACAAAGCATTTACCCGGGATCCCGCATATAGCCATATACCCTCAACATAGATTATACCTCAGTCCTCAGATACAGGGGTTAAGATGGGCCTCATGATTTTGGGTTACTAGTTATTCAAGCCTAAACAAAAATGGGAAAATGAAAAAAAGAATAACGAAAGGAAAGGAACCATAAATGTTCGGTGGGCCTAATACTTCTTATTTGATACAAACTACAAATTTTATTCATTTTACATATCCCTTTACAGAGACAACATAAGCCAGAAGAGCCCAAAAGATGAACATAAACAAAACATGCAAGCACAGAATAAATTGATAGTGTGAATCAAACTCTTAAGTTTCCAATATTGTTACAATTTTTTTTGTTGGTTTAAATATTGTTACAATTTTTTTGTAGGTGTAAATATTGTAACAATTAATTGTTTCATAATTATTAATCGGTAAATCATACACCCTACAGAGTTATAAGAAATTGATGGAGAAGTAAGAAGTTGTTTTCACGATTATTGCAACTTTTCAACAAAGTTAGACACGTAATTTCGTTGTTTGTGATAATATGATTCTCTAATTTAATTGCTTCAAACACACATGTGCAGAGTTCAAATATATGCATATTTATATATTTTTATCTTTAAATCATATTACCCAAATAAATATTACTCTCTCCGTTTCACTTTACATGTTATTGTAGAGTAAAATTTTTGTTTTAAAATAAATTTCATTTTATAATTTCAATGCAAATTTTATTAAATTTAAATGATATTCTATTTTTTATTAGTTGAAAAATGATTAAGTGTATAGATAGTTGTTTTTTTATCTTAAAAATATGTAAAATTAAATGTTCTCTTAATCTGTGTGCAAAAACTTACAATGATAAATAAAATAAAATGAAGAGAGTACAAAACTAAGATATTTTATTGTTTCTATCAAATTTGATTAGATTTTGAATATTAGATTGTTTTTATATTAGTGAGAAAGTATTAGTTGAAAATTCTTATTACTATATAAATATGATCTTTGGCTATACTTACATTTTTTCATTGTTTATGCTAAAAAGAAGAAAATAAAATATATTATTGTATGTATATTCGATATAAATAATTATATTAAGAAATGAGTTGCATATGTGAATTATCAAATTACACTATAAAAATCAGAAAACAGTATACACTGTATGTGGATAAATTTGAACTACTCCTAAATAGAAGTGGATAAAACATTCTGCTTGTGGGCTACAAACTATGAGCAAACAATAAAAAAAAAAAGGTAATGTTCAATCGCATTGATACATTTTTGTTGAATGGTAGTGAACGCTACACACGCGCATTTCCCCTCCATCAATAATCTTTCTATCATTTTTAGTCAAAAATAGTTATCTAACTTTCATTCATCTATCATTCATAGTCTAAACTAAGCATAATTTTGGATACATTTGGTTTTGACGTTCCTCTCTACTAAAGGACTTGGCTTTAGGGATATAGGGATATAGTACACTTCAACGATGCTATGTTAGCCAAAATAGCCTGGCGCCTGGTCAAAGATCCGCAATCTCTTTTGGCTCAGACGCTCTTGGGGAAATACTGCGTCCACTCTGAATTTCTGGAGGTGGAAGCCCCTAAGTCTGCCTCTCATGGCTGGCGTGGAGTGCTGGCTGGGAGGGAAGTGCTAAAAGGTGGCCTAGGATGGTTGGTGGGGAATGGGAAAAAGATCAGATTATGGTCGGATCCGTGGCTATCGTTATCATCTCCTCTCCGACCAATGGGTCCACCATCTGGAAATACCTCTACTCTCTTGGTTTCTGATCTTTTAGATCCCTCCACTGGGGAGTGGAATATCAATGCTATCCGAATGCATCTGCCCCTTTACGAGGATCACATTAGGCGGATTATTCCGTCATCGCACAATGCGAGTGATGAGCTTGTTTGGCTTATGAACAAAAATGGAGTTTATTCTACCAAGTCGGGTTACGCTGTAGCCAAACTCGCAACCACTTTGGATAGGGAGTCTGAGTTTAATTGGAAAACCTGCATATGGCAAGTTAATACTTCCCCTAAAGTTCGACATTTCCTTTGGAAAACCAATTCGAGTGCTCTTCCGGTTGGTAGGCTTCTCAAGACTAGAGGTGTTGTGACAGAAGGTGTTTGTCAGCGATGTGGTGAATTGGAATCGGAAGTTCACATTTTTCTCACATGTCCTTATGCGGTTAGGGTCTGGGAGCAGCTCCCAACTATGTTTAAACCGTCGCCTCTAAGCGTTGTGACCATGAGTCAGCTTCTCCAAGCTTGTAGAAGAATGATTGCACTCCCACCGGTGGGTACTGGCTGCACCCCCCTATACCCTTGGCTGCTCTGGACGCTGTGGACGAACCGCAATAAGCTTCTCTTTGAGAATAAAGATTTCTCAGTGGAGGAGACAGTCCTTAAAATAATTCATGATACTAAATCATGGGCTAATGCACAGGCTGAAATAGCCCTGCCTTCTAAAACATTGGTCCATTATGGACAAGGTTCTTCTTCTAATATCCTCCCTTATGTTCCCTTGCTTCGTACTCCTGTTGCAGGTGTTGGTCATTGGACCATCCACACTGATGCTGCTTGGGACTGTGACTCTGAAGGCTGTGGTTTGGGATGGCACCTCCAGGATGCGCAACTCACCAAATCACTCTCCTTCTCTTCTAACCGTCGCTTTGTAACCTCAGCTCTAGTAGCAGAGGCTTTGGCGGTAAAAGCTGCCCTTTCATCGGCAACTTCTCTCGGTATTCAACACGTCTCTGTGTTTTCGGACAGCAAGTCTCTCATCTCTCTGATTACAAGGAAGGAGCGAGATACTTCTGTTTTTTGCATTCTCCATGATATTGCTCTGTTAGCATCTTCTTTTGCTTATGTTACTTTTAACTTTGTCCCTCGACTTGGGAATGTGGTGGCTGATTCCCTAGCTAAATCAGCCTTGTTTGAGCTGCATCATTCCCCCGTTGTGGGCTAACTCTGTTTTCGAATCTTTTAATTTGAAGGAATGAATGGTTTGATCAAAAAAAAAAAAAAATCTTTAATGGTATAGTTCTTGTTATTTGTTATTACAAAATACATTTCTATTTGAAATAACAGTATTAAATATATCACGAATAATTAGGTAAAAAGAATTTGACTTCATTATCGTCAGAATTTATATTAGCAAATTTTGTAATTCAGATGTTTGTTCCATAGAATATCAGATTCAACATTTTCATGTGATTTCATAATATAAATAATAATTTTATTCATGGTAAAGACAGAATACATCAATTTTGTTGTTGCTGCAATTAGATATAAAGTTATGTTTAGCTAAGAATTAGGCCACCAAACATAAATTAATCGCATAAACTTTGTTTTAATCACTTGTTTTTGGTTCAAGTTTAAAGAAAAGAAAGTATGTTTGCCCATAAAGAAAAGAAAGTCTTTTGTTGTTCTTTAGTAAAATCTCTAGTAAATCTCTATCAAGTCACAAGTACTGCTTTTGAATCCTAGCTCTGTTCTGTTCCCACCACGACCTCGCTAGTGCTTCTCCAAACTTGTCTCGGCTACACAACACAAACAACATTATCTCAATGTAGTTCACAATATGTAATAATACCACAATGGTTTGTGTTATGTTTTACCTGAATCGAACACGTTTAAGCTCACGGCTACCATCTGGTAAAGCTCTGATTGTAATGTAGATACCAGGCTCATCTTGTTCCACCCATTCAGTTTCTGTGTCGCTTGCGTTACTCACTGAGACCTCCTCGGACCCCTCATCTGCTGAGCTGCTTCTAGCAGAACCATCAATAGATGATGCCTCCTCAGTCTTGGTCCCACTGATGTCAGAGAGCTTTGGTGTTGAAGCAAGACCAGTAGAGTCATAGCGCTTAGGTGTTTGGATTGGTTGGTGATCAAGTGAATCAGATGAGGAGTATCCCATTCCTCGAGGATGCTCATTGTTCAGCGGTGGAGTTACAGGACTGTCCTTAGCCGACTGTATTTGCGAGACCTGACACAAGGTGAAGCTTAATAGTTTTTAACATTGTACTTTCAATGAGCTATTATAAACCAGAAAGAGCTTTGGTTTGTGAAATAGTATTACCCCATCTTCAGAAGTTGGGTGTGGCTCGCTCTCCTGATTGAACTGCTTCACGTTGTATAACTCCATGACCTTCTCGGAATTCTCTGTCCACCATCTTTGTGCTTGCCATTTATCAAACATCTCACGACTGCAACAAAGTATAAATGTTTTAAAATGTCACCTCCTTGTCTCAAATCAGTTTAAAAACATGTTAGCTTTGCGCAAAGGCCAAACATGTAACACAAAAAACTCAGTAGCTGACACACTATAGAAAGAATCACCAAAAGCTAGATATACAAATCCTAGGGACAAGTCCACACATGACAAGCCAAACTGAAACTATAGTCTAGTGAGAATATATTTTACTTTCCAACAGCAAGATACATATATAGTCTGGTGAGGACACAAGTGTTCTCCACAATTACAAAAAGGCTGTACTACTCATATCATATGGCTGTCACAAAAAAATACTCCTCTAACTCCAAGATCAGATCAAATATGTAACACATAACAAAACAGCCTATGTTCCTTTTTTTAGTACAAGGAGATTTAGGGACAAAGCCCATAATAATAGTTTCGTCCCAGCGGTCACTCGAACCGGTGACCTATGATGACACAATGGCCACTTGGCCAGGGTCCTATGTTCAATGTTGTGTCTAGATAAAACAGAAATATGCAACATTTTATGATCAGTTTTCAACATGGGTAGAAACAAGTACCTGAAACGGATCCTCTTTAGATCATTTCCACCCTGAGGCAAAGACACAAAAGTGATGAGAACACCAGGCTCAACTTGTGCAACCCACTCCTTACCCTCATCCTCCTCCACAAACACTACAGACTCAGTCCTCCCACTCATGGAAGTAGGTGTACCTTCTTCACTCGAAAGCCCTTTCAACCTAGACTCCATCTCCTTCCCCCAAATCTTCGGAGTTGATGTTCCAGTCCCAGCTCCAGCTCTCTGGTACGCGTAATGAAACCTCCCAGAATCCAAATCAGCATCTGAATCAGCATAGTGATTCCGGTTTGATGTACCGGAACACGGTTTACAGCTTTTGTAAGCTCCTGATGCCTTTACTGCCATGTCTTTTAGCTGTGTCACATAAAGACAAGAGTCACATGACAATACAGAGGAATAAAATGTTATTACAGATCAAAACATGGGATTAAGACCGTTGAGTCAAAGTCAAGCAGAAGAGACCAAATGAAAAATTGAATAAAAAGATGATTAATACTTTATTATACCTGTGAAGTGAGAGATTTAGTGGCTTGTTTGGTCCTAGGCGTCTCTGTTTCTTCGTCTTCATGTTGGGGTCTAGATCCGCCATTGTTGGTGGTGTTAAGCTGCTTGGTACACGCTATACACGTCAGCATATCTCTCTCTCTCTTTCTCTTCCCTCACGAGCGTGCTGAGATCAAAAGGAAACGTTTTTAAGAGATGTGAAGGCTGTTGAATGTTTTATGACCGTTACGCACAAGCGATAAATCAGGGCACGAGATCTGTAGAGTAGACAAGAAAAAGAAACTATCTTTAGTTTCAATCTTGCATTAAAGTCTCTCTCTCTCTCTTTTATGTTTCTCTCTCTCTCTCCTTTGTCCTTGAGGCAGGTTCAAGCGACAGAGAGAATGAATGAAACACACACACTCTCTCTCTCTATCTCTAAAGAAGCTTTGAGATTTGGGATTTGAGTTCGTTGGACATTGCAACTTAAAAGAAATAAAGTTAAGCACATGAAGTGTGGTCTACTGTGTTTCTAACTGATCCTCTGTTCCACATGCCTACTTTTTTTTTCTTTTCGAAATTGTTTATGGTGCTTTAATTATTTATTAACGGCGTAATGGCTGCATTATTAGTCTTTAATCATTTTATGTTTATGTTTATGGTGACAACAAATTAAGAATATTTTCTTCTTAAAATCTGGAAAAAGGGAGAAAAATGATTGCTCTTAAAGTTTTTAAACGATGATTTATAATGATAGTTGATTAGAGCGTGCAACTTAGCACTAGCATTTTAATATTTTTTAAGCTTATGAAATAGTTATAGTATATACTTTTTTAGAAATGTTTCCCACCTTAAACCTCATAATATCTTTCCCCACCTTTTTCCTTCTCCTTGAAAGTTTTAAGCCATTTGTTTAATAATTATGTATGAGTTTGGTATAAAAGCTACAAGTACAGCTTCTAAATCACCAAGCAAGAAAGTCGTGTAAAGGTTGGTTTTTGTTTATTGTTGAACTATTCATATTTGTGATAAGATTATTATACTTTAACATATACATCTGAGACATTTAATAGTTACAAAATTCAAAAACAAATAATTTGCTATCTTTCAAATCAATTCTAGATCACAATCTCTTAATATGATTCCGAAGTTGCTTATTAATGCAGTATTCATAGATTTAAAAATTAGTCTCTTAACATATTGGTGAATTTCATCTAGTTTTGTAATCTTTTCATACCTTGATTGTTTTTAAACTATCATTTATGAGAGTTGTTTCTTTGGTGTTATATATATATACTAGGGGTGCGCCGGCGCTATGGACCGGATTTTCAATATAGAAAGTTAATTTTTAATGTATACATGTTTTGAGATTTGTTTTAGGTTAATTTCCTGCCGGCATATGTTTTTGTCTTAATGTGAGTCTGCGTAATTTTTTTTTATTTTTTTCAATATTTTAATTCTGCAATTTTTTCCTATTTTATTTGTATGTTGTTATGTGGTTAATGTCTAATGTTAAGTTTTATTAGTGTTTATTAAACGTGACGAACTGTGATGGGGTAGCTGTATAATTAGAATGTTATGATGGTTACGTTTCCACTGAATGGGCCTCCATTATCTGTCGTTTAGATAGTAAACTTATTGACTGAGTACTTTTTGTCTGGTTGTTAATTTGTTTTGTCATCCGAGATAGGAAAATGGACTAATTTTATTAATCATGGATTCGAGAAGGGAAATCAAAACATTAAACTGCATAATATAATTAAAAATGAAAACAAATTTTGTTATCTACTTAAAGTAAAAGCACGTAGCACAGCGAACGTTGATGTCGTCACGGTGACAGTTGATTATCGCCTTTGTCGTTGCGTATGCCGTCTGAAGTAACTGTGTTTAGCTCGGAAGTATGGTGGGGGTTTTATATTGTATTTCCTAGGTCTTTTAATTTTGTAAACGGGGTTTGTTTTTTTGTTTGGATTTAGAATTTTATTTATTGTAATTGATTCGGTAGTACTTGTGGATTCGAATATCTGCTTAATTATAGGGCGTAATATGATTGGACCTTGATTTTTTTCATTATGCGTTTGTCTTATTTATTAATGCGGCTTAAATTAAATCGTAAATCAACCCATTTGGTTAGTTGTTATTAATAAGTAATCGGTTTAATTCACATCTGTTTAGGCGGTCCCATTGGTAGCACATTTGGTAACTGGAGGACCAAATTGTTGTGTCCTGATGCATCCATAGGGTAGACGTTACTTTTTTTTAGTATAATATATTGAGTCACACAATGAAAAGAAAGCAGAGTGTTAAGTAATGGATATAGAGGATGAACTTACGAGCCTGCTTGTAGTGATAGCACTTTGGGCACCGGTTATCCATGTCGTTCACATGGCAGCTTTTTGGTGGTTGGTTGTTGTAGAGATTTGCAGAATATTCTGGCTTCATCTCAATTATGATGTTCCTTAGTGCTATCATGTTCTCTCTGCAACAGCAATCTCCACGGCGCTTGTTGGTCTTCCAACCAAGTGAGTCTAGACTCATCCTACCTCCAGCCATGTTCCTTGTGCAAAACATGAGCATACCGTACAAGTAAGTTCCATTATCATACAAATCTTTTGATGATCTGATGATTTCTTGAGGTGGTAGAGTCCAACGATGGGGTTGTCTTGAACGAAGAAGGCTTTTATCCTTCAATGTATTGTTAATAAGCAATTAATCGGGCCTTCACAATTGGAGGAACAAACATAATAAAAAATTGCAAAAAAAACACTGAAAAAGAGTGCCACGTATATTAATTCCCCCCAATGAGAGAAAAAAAAACAACTTTATTATTAAAGATATATATGTGTGTGTATATATTTAACTAAAACTTATATAGAATAAATCAGATTTTGAAACGTTGTGATATATACTATTATTTATTTTTGTTTTTGACAACATGAAACTAAGCTAATACTAAAGACTAATAAAAATCTAGCTCAATTTGGTGAGTCAAATTAGGAGGTAGTGAACTAACATACGCCAGAGCTGAAGGAAGACACACACCACCATATGCCAAAGTGTTATGAGAGATGTATATAAATATTAATTGATAATGGAAAATGAAGATCAAGCACAAATTTTTCATAAGAACATTAACTTCCATAGATAATCCCTTATATATTAAAAAAGAAGCATTGTAATAAATACGTTCATACCGTAACTGACACGTGTCTGTGTCACAATTATTTGGCAATTAATATGTTCACACACTAATTTTTAAAATCATTATTTAATATGTTTTTACACTATTTTTTAATTAATTCATTTTCCTACATTTTTAACCTTTGTAAACTTTATACGTAAAACTAATGAATAATATCTTTATCATAAAAAAATTATAAAATCATTAAGATTCGCATCAACTAAAATGTTGCAATAGAAATGTTTGTAGAGACTGAAAGTTTCGTACCTTGCCAAAATTGGTCATAGTTGAGGCTTCGGTACACAATAACAACAAATAAGGTGACTGATTATGAATTAAAGAAACCGAGGTGAAAAACACCACACGTAAAGTCGGATCTTTAGTTTAATCAAATATTAACATTTTTATAAAATTGTCATATCAGACCAAAAATTAGAAACAAAATCAAATTGGTAGAAAAAAATCAGAAATCAAAAAAACTTTAGAAAGAAATAAAAATCACAAAATCGATTAAAACGGATTTGATGTACAAGTGAAGATATCACTTTGTAATATATCTTATTTTTATTGTTTGCGGTTACAATTTGATTTTCTTCATATGAAAAAATGTTATTAATTTATAGGTTTTTTTATTTACTTAATTTTATTTAAGAATTTAGTATCATGTGTTATTTTGAACAAACATGTTTTAAATCTTAATTAACGATATATTCATATATTTATCATCAAATTTATATATTTTTACCAATACATTTTTACCAATACATACATGTACACATTGACATGAGCGACTATATAACTAAATATTCACCACAAGTGAGAATTTTAATTCTTATTGAAGTTAAATTTTGTTTTTAATGTTTTCTTTCACTATCGCTCAAATTGTAGTGAAATGTTTTGTGTTAATATTTTTATTTTCATTTTTCTTCAACTATTATTTAGATTTTATTTGATTTTACATGTCTTTAGAAATTATAATAGGAAACTATTAGTTCAACTTAAAAAATGTCTAAAATTTATGTAAAATGAAACCAAACAAATAACAATAGTTTTTGGTTATCATCGAAAAAATAAAAAACATCCAACCTTTAAACCAAACAAACCAGAATAAATACATATTTAGAATGATAGTTATATTTTAGGAGATTAAAAACAAACAACGTAAAATTGAACCAATATTCACGCTAAACAAATATAATATCATTTTTATTTTAAAAGTAATAAAAGTAATAATCTCATTTCACGCAAGGCGCGGATTATGACCTAATGTAATAGTATAATCTGTCTGCGAGTAAACTTTCGGTAAAAATCATTGATATTTAATTTTTTTTTTTTAATTGGCTGCAGGCGTAAAATTTGATTTTGTAAATTTATTAATAAATAATAATAAGTTAGCGAAAGAAACAATAGTTTGATACACACAAAAATGGCCAGAGGGCCCAATAAGCGCAAGGAAATAAGAAACGGGTCAGAAGAAGAAGGCCCAATAGATAAAGCAATACACTCGTCCGCACCAGATCACCCCCTCTCGTTGAATATACATACATCGATTTCTTCTTCTTTTTTATTTTCCTCAAAAATTGCGAGAAAAGAGGGGAAGAAGGATCATTAAATCAAAACCAGTCTTCTCCCTTCTCCTGAGATTCGTTGTTGACCGCCGGATTCATCTCAACTCGCCGCTAAACCCTGATCGAAACCACCGTAACGGCCGTCGAATTTCAGCTTATTGATGTAAGTGTATCCCTGCCAAATTGTTTCTGGAGAAGTTGGTGATTGACTTTGATGATTTAGGGTTTCTGTTGGCGCTTTTTTATTCTAAGAGATTTCTGGAGGAATCGTTGTTAGTTTTGATGTATATGAACCCCTTGGAAAAATTGTGTCTTTCGTAATAGTGAATTAACTCACAGATGAGTTGATTCTTCCATTGGATATCCCATCCTTTAATCTGCAATTTTAATTGCTTAATTAGTTATGTCACCTGCTTGGTTTCGGAGGTTGTAGGCAATCTAGTAAATGTCTCAATAACGTTTTCTTATACAAAATTTGGGGATATACGTCTTATGTAATTTACCTCAAAAATTTATTATTGTTGACTATCCTGAATCGGGCTATTGACTTAACAGTGAGTACACAGTATTCAGAAATGAAAACACTTATGTCGCATTTAGAACTCTAGACTGATTTCTCGTTGCTAGGAAGAACAAATTGTATATATATCAGCCTCATTACCCCCATGAGAACTGAATTTTGTACAGTTATCTTTAGCATCTTATTGAGTAGTTGATTTTGTCCACATATTAGTTTTTTTTTTTTGGTTGTCTCACTTCAGTTTGCAGTTTGAACAGGTTAAGGCAATAATGAATAACCAGTCTCTGTCCAATGGATATCCATACAGAAAAGTTGAACATCAAGCAGGGATGAATAAGGCTCAGCCGATGAAGCCACACACCCAGAATAGTACTGCTTTTGTATACTTGTTTTTTTAGATGTATATGTATGTTACGATTTTAGCATCAACATAACGTCGTGCATATTTCTTGTTTGTTGATACATCTGTGCAGAAAACGGTGGGAAAGCTGGAAGTTTGGATATTCCTTCTCGTGATCCGTTTGAGTATCTCGCAACTTGTCATATCGGACATCATGTTGAAGTTCATCTTATAGATGGGTCCGTTTACGGTGGTATATTTCATTCTTCTGATGTGGAGAATAGTTTTGGTGAGTGGACCTTTTTGTTCCTTTTGAGATGTGATATGTATATTACAAGAATCTCACTGTTTTTATTTGGTTCACTTACAAACCTTGCTTTTGAAACTTTCAGGAATTGTTTTGAAAATGGCCTCTTTGATCAGGGAAGGTAGTTTACGAGGAATGAAACCCGTTTCTCCGCTTGTCAGCAAGCCTCCTTCAAAGATACTCATTATCCCTGCCGCTGAAGTTGTGCAAGTTATAGCTAAGGTGTTTACTCTTTTCTTGTGGATGGGATTCTTATGTCAATGTGTTAGAAAGACTAGTTGGTGTTTTGATATTATTGTTTCTTTGTCATTGGCTTTGGTGTTAGGACCTTCCTGTACACAGCAATAACGCCTCAAATTCAGCTCAATGCGAGGGACCTTTAGAGCTATTGACAGACTCTTCTATATCACAGTCGTATCATGTTGATTTGGAAAGAGAGCTGAAACGTTGGGTACCTGATGAAGATGTTCCAGATTGTTCAGATCTGGAGAATGTGTTTGATGACCCTTGGAAGAGGTAGTGACATGACACCTTTTCTTTTAATTAGGATGTGTTTCCTTTTAATTAGGATTTCTATTTACTGATTTAGACAACTGTTTAGTATCTTTATTTTCTTCCTATTCCTTTTACATTCTACTATATCGAGATGGAGTCTTGGTTGTGAAACTCATCCAAGATAGAGAGTGTTTTGGAGCTTAAGGCCGTGGGAGAGATTGTTACTGTGCTTTGACGTTTAAACCTAGTTCTGTTACTGCTAGAGGTTTTTGTGTTTTTCTGGTTCGGGATTCTTGACTCTAATTACAAGCTATTTATTTTTTTACCCTGGTTCAGTTCGTCTCCTCGGTTTCAGCCTGCTCGTTTCTTTTTCTTTTAACTCTTGGCTGAACAACATGTCTTATACGTGATGATATCATAGGGGATGGAATCAGTTTGAGGTCAATGAGACATTGTTCGGAGTAACAAGCACTTTCGACGAGGAACTGTATACCACAAAACTCGAGAGAGGTCCTCGGAATAGAGAGCTAGAAGAGCAAGCCTCGAAGATTGCAAGAGAGATCGAGGGTGAGAATACCCGAGATCTTCACGTAGCAGAGGTGAATTAGGGATGTCTTTTTCTGTTACTTGGTTTTCGTCTCATTTCGTAGCATTTCTAGTTTCTAATGGTTCATGCATGCAATCATCTTACACAGGAAAGAGGGATTCAGCTTAGTGGAAAGTTTGATATGGATGAGGAAACTAAATATTCATCGGTCTGCCCGGTTAATGGATTTGATGATTCGGGTTATGAAGAGGACGAGGAAGAAGAAATCTTACTGAATTGCCGTAATAATTTGACTTTCGGTGATTCAACTGCTTCTGATGGCATGAAAACTGCTTCAATTGGCAAGGTCTATGAAGAATCATGGGTACGGTTGGGTTCTTCTCGGGTAGTTTCTAGGAGAATATACGGTGATATTTCCATTTTTCCGTCCTACAGGGTGGCGGTCTACCTTCACGGCAGCCTATGTTCGAACAGCCATCCAAAGATACTCATGCTCTAGGCAACAATAACAGGTCCCTTTTGTTTCCTTGGAAACATGCACTTTTTGTCAATACATGTTTTATTGATATATAACTTTCTGATTGTTCATCCTTTTAGGAATGAGAACCAGTTTGGTGAGCAGAGAAATAACAAAAGTCTAGAGGCTTCCCATTATAAAAAGGTAGTTAACTCTTTTGTTGCATCTAATCTTGATTGCATCTAGAATTTAAAATGTTCCATGACTTATAACATTGTTCTGTTACCTTCAGCATGTATTAACACAGCCGTCCGTGGAATCAGTGTCTGGTCTTGAAGGTATGTGCAACTTCACTTTAGCTTTTATGATTTCTATCTACTCCCATCACAACTTAAACGTTGATCACACATAGAATATATCCAACTGATTCTTTGAATGTGCATTCAAGATATTAATGAAGGCGCAGCTACCTCTGATCCATGGAGAACTTCTGACAAAGCGAAATCTGAGAAAATTCTGCAAACTTCCTCACCATCAAGTCGTCCAATACTATCACCAAGCTCTTCAATTGGTTCTTATTCTTCAGAAAAGTCCACCCTTAACCCAAATGCTAAGGTTTTGTTTTGCCGTACTTAGATTGTTATGATCTAATACAAGTAGCGTTGGTGTAGAGTGTTATGGTCGTAAGCATTTGTTAAATGAGCTTATGGTCTGATTCAGGAATTTAAACCAAACCCCAACGCAAAGAGTTTCAAACAATCTCCAACAGCTACACTGCCTCAATCTCCAGTTCCGGATGAATCATTCTATTACCCTCCCGTTCCGCCGATGCCCGGAATACACCTTCGATACGGAGTAATTTTCTTTACTCTTTTATCTACTCTTATGACCAACCCTCTAAATCGAGCTTAAGTCTCTGTTTTCATGTTTTCTGATTCACACAAAAAAATTGGTAGATGGGAGCAGCATTCGCTGGACAACATCCAGTGATGTATAACAACAATACACCCCAGCTTGGTCCAAATCAAACTTATTATTCTCCAAATAGTCCACAGGTTTGTTGTTGCTATTAGAGCCATGACTCAAAACTTCTTTATTGGAACAGAATCTTGAAAAACTGAGTTTTGGAAAATCAATTTTTGAACAGTACTCACAACCAATGATGGTTGGTCAGCAGAGACCCGTTTTGTTTATGCCGCCGTCGCCATACCAACCGGTTTACTGTTTACCTTCCATTGAGTATTCTTTTTGTTTTATAGATCTGCTCAAAAGAGTTAGATTTTGCTGACACGTTTGATTTGAATTGCAGGAGATGCCATATAAAGGAAGGGACTCTTATTAAGCTTTTGACCAAACCATGAAAGGTGGTGGCACAAGGTTTTGCATAATCTTCTGATGGTTTGGGGGGGGGGGTGTTTAATTTATTACTTTAATTTATTTTCAGCACCGAATCTTTTATTTTTCTTTTCTTTTTAAAAAATTGATAAATGGTTTGATGGTCCATGAGAGAAGAATTGAACACATGTGATATTGATTTTGTTTGTTTAGGATTTTGATTAGACAAGATCTTGATTTAGATTCGGGCTGATCTCACTTCCTTCTCTTTACTCGTGTCACTTTTAAAACTCTAAATCTATGTATGACATTGAGTCTGATGACATTCTATGTTTGAGTCTATTTACATATCAAAAAAAGGAAAAATTAGGTAGGTAAACATGGTTTCTTCTCTTTATTATATATGTATTTTACCTTTTCCAAATCGACGATTGTTGTTCAATTTTTCATGTACGTGTTAAATCTTGGTAGGTGATAAAGTAAGTGCGTCTATGATTCGGTTTGAGAGCGTAATGTTTTAGTTTGGGACACTTTAGGATACGTGGATATAAGTTTTGTTGTTGTACATGACTCGTATGTTCGTATTAAATCATTAGTAGTTTTAATCATGTTCGTATTCAGACAAGAATCCAGGTTAGGAGAGATTTGACACGTTAACTTTTTGTCGTTTAGTCAAATAGTGGTCTTATTTTAGAGTTTGAAAACATGATTAAAATCTAATAATTGATTCTAAGAACTTCTAGATTCTCTCGGTGAAATGATATTCTAGGTTGACACATGTCACATCTTCGGAAGCATGATGGTTACTCCCTTATGTTTTCTCTATAAAGGACAAAAAGTTTACGATGCCAAGTCTCTCAATTTATGGAATTGGGTGAATATTTTGGTCATTTTATTCAACTAGAATATTCATCTCAAAATAGAATTCTTCCTATATTATTTATTTTCTCTATATATTTTATGGTTATCGTAGTTGTAATTCAGAGCTGTGGATTAAATGTGGAACAGAGACTAACAAATTACGGTTCGTTGCTTGTGCTGCATCAAGAAATGTGGAAAAAGAAAACTGGAAAAGGGCTCTTTGCTTTGCTTGACTTGCAATAAATTTCAATTACCCCCAACTACAAAATTATAATATTTAAAATTATTCGCTTAAATGCAATATTGATTGCACCATAAAGAGATGTTGACACCCTTCCACTTATGCTTTTGCTTTTTTTTAAAACAAACGTTCTTAAGGAATAAAAGAGATGAGAAAAAGTATCTATAAAATAATACGACCTCTATTTCACTATGAACTATGTTTAAGAATCTTCCACACCCCCTATATATTATTTGAGAATCATTTAAAAAGTTGTAACCTTAAGTTTGTAAGAATTAATAATAACCTCAATCCTATGTGACATAGCTCTTTGGCTTCTATTTCAAATTTCAAGGATTCTAGAGCATGTGATATAATGTATAGTTTAAAAATTATACTCTCTAGCAATATAATTTTTTGTAGGTTATAGTTAGTCGCATATATCAAATATTTATTGATTCGCATGCTTTCCTTAAATAACCTACATTACCTAATATGATTAAAATATATATGACAATTAATGATTTTAAACAATAAAGATTTGATAACAATCTTCATACATTTTTCTCATTTTGTTTATTTATTTATTATTAAATAAATTACACAATTAAATTAATCATATAATAAAAATCTAGATTTTTTTGTGTATATGTTGTATTTCGAATTTTTCAAAATGAGTATAAATTACTAAAACAGTTAAAAGTCTCACATAAACTTTTAGGATCAAGGTTTTAATTTTTTCTATATTAAAATAATGATTATAAGACCATATGAAGAAATAATTTTAGTTTATATATATTTCATATCGTTTTAATTAAACTATATCATATGAAAATACATACTTATATTTTGATATTTGCCTTGAACATATATTGAAAAGTTAATATTTTAATTTTGAAATATGTCATTGTTTCTTTTAAAATGAATATAAATTATTGAAACTAGTAAACATCTCACATTAAAAAAAAATTGTTGGTGTAAAGTCTGTTACACAAATATGCAAATAATCATAAAATCATATGAGTAAAAACCTCATTTAAGAAATATCCATATTAAAAGTGTTCTATAATACTATGTTTATATCATTTAAATTTAATTATATATCATATATAATATATAAGATTGATTATTTTTATTTATTTACCCTAATTGCGAATAAACAAAGTGATAGTTAAATTTATATGCATACGTCAATTTATTACATAAAAGTAATTGATTTCTTAGTTATTTAATATATATATTTATTATTTTATTATTTTATAATATGCATAAAAATATAAAAGAAATAACAAATATAAAATACTTATTGTGCATAAAATGCAGATCTTAACTTAAGTATGTATCTCTTTAATTATTTTAAATCTTAAATATTTTCTAAATCTCAGGTCAAAACAAACAAACGAATTGAGAATAAACTCAATGCTGTCCTCAAAAAGAAAGTTTCGTATGCATGGAAATCTATTCTTTATGGCCGAGATTTAGTTAAAAGCGGGATGAAATTTATATTAGGCAATGGAGAATTGGTTGATATGTGGTCTGATACTTATATTCCAGACCATCCTCCACGAGCCCCTAGAGCACAGGTTCCCAACCCGGTGATGTGTAAGGTTAATACTTTCTTCTCAGAAGATAGAACTCATTGGAATGAAGATAAACTCCGGGAACAAGTTGTTCAAGAAGATGTTGAAAAAATTCTATCTATAAAGATCAGTTCAAAGGCGCACCAAGATTTATATGGTTGGCATTATAATGAAGATGGAATCTACTCAGTAAAATCAGGGTATTGGGTTAGTTCTCATTTGGCACATAATAATCATATAGCACCGATCCCAGGGAACAATGTTTTAAAACAAAGAATATGGAAGCTGCATTGTCCACCGAAAATCAAACACTTTTTATGGAGAATGTTGTCAGGAGGGTTATCAGTAGGTTCTACACTCAAACACCGACATATGAGTCAAGATGCTGTATGTAAGAGATGTTATCAAGAAGAAGAAACAGAAGCTCATCTATTTTTTGAATGCCCTTTTGCTAAAATGACATGGAGAGGCTCAGGATTCTCCAATCTGATCATCAATAGCTCTAATTCAACTTTTGAGGAAAAGATTGAAGAATGTATCAAGTCCTGTACATCTGTGTCTCTAAGTCATATGCAAATTGAGCCGGTATGGATTCTTTGGCGATTATGGAAATGTCGAAATATTTTGCTCTTCCAGAAGAAAAATATTTCTTGGTCACTACTACTACACCAAAGTCGCATGGATGCAACGGAATGGAGTAAAATGGCTTGTCAACAACAAGAGAATATACATTCAGGGACACAACGACACAACAGACAACAGATCAATCATTGGCGAAGACCCCCGGAAGATTGTTTAAAAGTAAATGTAGATGCCAGTTACATAAATGATGGAACAAAGAGCAGAGCAGGGTGGATTATACGTGATCATCAAGGCTGCTTTAATGGTGGAGTACAAGCGATTGGTAGGAGAGTCAATAGTGCTTTGGAAAGTGAGTTACAAGCAATTTTAATGGCAGTACAGCATGTTTGGAGTAAAGGACACAGAAGAATGATAGTTGAATCTGACTGTCTAAAGGCGGTAGACATTCTTAATGGAACAAGACTTCACTTTGATACCTATAATTGGAAACGAGACATTCTTTGGTGGAAGAATCAATTTGAATATATGGAGTTTCGATGGATTGACAGAGCTGCAAACAAAGTTGCTGACAAATTAGCTAAATATCCTATACAGGGGAATGTTTCTTTCATCTTTTATTATTATGTTCCAAGGTTCATATCTAATGAACTACATAATGACTATGTATTTGCAATATAAGTATTAATAAAGTGTTATAAAAAAAAAAAGAATTGAGAATAAACTTCAAAATAAATATTTATCTCGAGTAATAACCAAAATATAAAAAACACAACAAGAGAAAAAAAGATAAATAGGATTGACGCGTGAATGTAAGCTTCTCATAACCATAATTAATTTTTAAATTATTAAATCATGATAAAAATCTAAGTTAATTTTTAATTTGTTAATTTTTTTTTTAATTTTTTAAATCATTATGGTTATGTTAAATCGTGAGCATAATTAATTTTAAATTATTTATATGTATTTGAAAAACTTAAAATATTGTTTTTAAAAATAATTTAAAATTTAACTTAATTTTTTTTAAAATTAAAAAAAAAATTGTAAAAAATATAGTTTTCTAATATTATTAGAAAAAATAAATAAATTATATTAAATTAATTTTGAAACTTATATATTTTAAATGCAAGTATTTTACCAACTGCTTCTTACAAAAACATTAGGAAACTTGCTAATACCCTACCAATCAAGTCCAATGACACTCCGTTTATTTTCCGTCACTTGAACACTGAAAAGTGAAAAGATATATTAAATCAAGTCCACTAAATTCTAAGATTTGATCTACAGTTCCAATTACAATTATTTCTGATCCTACGTATAAATAATTATATAAAAATTTCAAAATTCTAAAATTTCAAATACATATAAAAACAATCATATATAAATTTTAATTTGTCAATACTAAAATTTTATATTTTAATTACATATGTTTACCCTGCGCCTTGCGCAGATCTTATCCTAGTTTGTTAAGTAACAACGTAGTATATATTCTTTTTTTTATAACACTGGTGCAATGGTACAAAGAAAGTTCCAAAATAGTACAAAAGAGAAAAACAGAGAAGATATGAGATATCATTAGACATCAACAGATAACGAAGAAGAAACCTCACCCAAAACCTTATAGCTGAGCTTCTAAAGCAAGTAGGTGATGTAGCCACACAGGTGCATTACGGGCGATGTAAGACTGGTGACGGTTATCGCGAGTGACACTTATAGCAATAGCGAGTGACACGTAGTACATACTCAATATTAAAAAAAGTGTGTAGCTTCAAAGTTAAATATGAAACAAAACTAAAAATGTAGAATAAGTGTTCACTTGAGCGAAATGAATGAAATAGTTGGCATACACATTACCAGAAACATAGTCTTTTTAAAAAAAGAGTGGCACTGGTAGCTGTTATGTGATGAATGATATAATATATCTTTTTGTGTGTGGTTTCCTTTCTGATTTTTTTCGGATACTTTATAAAATCCATAAATTAATACTTGATAAATTAATAAAAACTATAAATTCATAAAGTTTTTGAATTTAAAATTGGCCAGTTCAAAATATGACATTAATAGATAAGACATTAAGATAATTTTCTATAGAAAATCCTACGTAAATATATTCTTATTTAACACTATAAATTACTATTTGTATGTATACACATTTTATATATGTACAAACTACCATTATATTATTTGTTTTATATTCAGAATTAAAATATCTTTATATTTTCTTAACATTTAATATATTTTGATGAGATTTAGTAAAATTATATCTAAAATCACATTTAAATTCTATGAAACATATTTTTATACCCTAAATAATATAATAGAACCAATATAAATATCAAATCTCAAAATACTAATTAATACATATACATTAAAATCAAATATTTTCCTTGTTTTAGGAAAATATATCTTAAAGTAAAAGTCTAAAAAGAAAAGTTTTTGTAAATTAATAATTCTATAAATTAATAAAATATTATAGTTCAAACATTATTAATTTATACAGTTTTTACCGTATTTTTTATCTTTTCTAATTATACTTATTTTCCCAAACTGTTTTTAATGAACAAGTCAAATAAACAAAAATACATAAGGAAAATTGACAATAATTTAGGCATTATAGTCTTATGAATCTATTGCCTTTAATATTTAATAAAATTCGTTGATCAAATTTACTTATATGTTATTTGCCATATTCATTTTTGTAAAGATGATACCTTATGAAATTGTAGCATGGATTGTTAAATTGTAGAATAAATTGAACTTAACTGTAATATATACATTTCCATTTAGAATAAATTCTGAAAATAAGATAATAATTGCTAATTATATTTGGATTAATATTTTAGTTTTAACGGCTAGTGAGGTAAAATGAGTTACAAGTGTAGCTACAACTACAACATAAACATAAAATTATGAATGGCAATGCAAACTGGTTTTCATTTATGTTTTCCATAATTAGTATTTCTTTCCTTTGATATTTCTTTTGTTACTTAATATTATGTTCACTATATTATCATTTATGAATTTTATTTATCATATCATATAAATTATGTACAAGCTAATATTAGTTTTTATCATAATTACTTAAATATTTCAATATTTTAACTCAGATTTATACATGTGTCACCTATAACGAATAAAATATTATACATATACTCTATTAAGAGTCATTTTTTTATCTACTGATATAAATTATCATTTAAATTTGGACCCTTTCTAAAGTGTTACAAATAATACAAGTCATATAGTTGATTGAACCGTATTACTTAAATTAAACCGGCGGTTATTTATGGAATAGAGTTTTGGGCTTACTTTTGTTTTTATGACAAATTATATAGTTTGAGTTTTGGGCTTAGTATTAAAGAAAAACTCCAAATAAATATTGAATAAATGTTTTACCTTAATGGATCAAAAAATCAATTACTATTTTAAGGCCCAAAAGTATTTAATATTTTAACAAAACAAAATTATATATTATTAATCACTTATTTAAATCATGTACTTTAAAACATGTTAATATTTTTTATTTTAAATAACAATCACTCTGTCTTGATAAATTTCAATGGCAACTTTTATAATAGTTTATTTTTTTTATTTTTCTTAAATAATTTACTGATTTAAAAAAAATAAATGTAAAGCAAAACTAAAAACCAAATCTAAAAATTAAAATCCAAAACCAAAAGCTGAAAACGCATGTTATATTTTTGCTTTTGTTTTGTTTATTTACACAAAATAAACTATTGCATTTTTTTTTTAAATAAAAATTCTCATCTTTTCAGTTTTAAATTCGATTCTTTGGGATTTGTTTGTTGGTAATTATGAGTTCAAACTAACTCAACGGATCTAAAAGCTAAAAACCCAAACCAAAAGCTGAAAATCAAAACTAGAAACTTAAAAATTAAAAACCAAAAACCAAAATCTAAAACCAAATCTAAAAATAAAAACTGAAACTAAAAACTAATGCAAAGCAATCACCACCACAAATTTTGGATCACTGATTTTATACCAAAACATACTTTAAATAAAGACAAAACCTAATTATGTAAACTTTTAATAAAAAAAATTTTCCGCGCTTTCAAGCGCGGGTCAAAATCTAGTATACATTTAAATTAACAACAATAAAATTAAAATTTTAAATAAAATAAAGAAATAAAAAAGAGACAAGCAAGATTGACTACCACACAAACAGTTGTTTAAAAAACTGAACAACGAGTAAATCTTTAGCTAAGTATGTGTCTCTATAAAATGGTGCCTGTGTATATGTGGAGAGATAAAAAAAAAAAGACAAAAGAAAAAGGGTGAAAAGAGACAGGTTTAGTCTTTTAAGCCATAGCCAATAGTACACTTCTTTGCAGAGACAGAGGAAGAGAGAGAAGAAACAGCCATGTTTTGAGGAAGGAGACATGCATCATCATCATCATCATCTCCAGCTTGTTACTTAAACTTTTCTTTCTCTCCATCTTTTACCAAATCTAGACACCAGAGGTCTCTCTCTCTCTCTCTCTCTCTCATAATTTCTTTGGTAGTGTGTTGATGATTTGGTTGCTCTATTTGTACTTCTGATTCGGATGATCAAATATAAATAAATAACCATTTTATAACCAATTCTTAAAACATAATCTGTTTGCTTTCTCTATGCCCACTTTTCTCTCTGTTTGCTTTGATCAGTAAGTTTAAAATGATTTGATTTCTATTCATAGCCAGCAATTTGAGTCAATAATCTGTCAATATAGTTTCTCTTTGGAAAGCTTTTTGTATATATATATATATATTGACTGTATATTGGTTTGCATGTTATGCTTTCTATGTAAATAATAGTGCATCAATCTGTTTAAAACAAAATGGGTTTTCAAAATTTTTGAATCTTTGAGCAAACTTCAATATGAAATCTGGATTTTAGGCTAGTTTTTATAAACTTGGTGGATCCATGCATCGCTTAGATTTGGTGGATAATGACCACCAAAATGATTCTTGATTGGCCTTTTGCTTGGTTTGAACACTAGCTTATATCAAGAAGACAATGCAAGTTTTCCAAAGCAAAGATTCATTCCAGTCTACTAGGGAAAGCTCAGTGCCAACAAGCTCAAACATTCAAGGATCTCAAGCTTTAAGCTTGACAAAGAACATGATGATGATGTCTACTACACAACTCTCCTCGATGAAACATTCGAGTTTGCAGCTGCAAAATCAAGATTCATCCTCAACGCAATCTACTGGAGAATCAGGCCGTGGTGAAGATGCAAGCTTTGATGAACCTACCCGTTATGGTTGCAGCAGCATTGCTGTTAATACCAATCTCTTAGGTCAAACAAATAAACTTGATTTGCAGAGATTTGTCACATTACAGGAAAAAAAAAATCTGCTAAAATGTTTTGTGGGTTTTGATTGATGTAGGTTATAACAAGTCAGCAACCACCTCGTCTATTGTGTCTCAAGAGCATGTGTTTCCTCCTACTTTTGGTCTACCATCTTGGCCTCTTCAGTGTGCTGAAACATCACATCTCAATGGTTTCTTGGCTCCTGAATATGCATCGCAGTCAATGGTAATGTACTGTAAAGCCTTTGTCTTGTTCACACAGTAGTGGCGTTGGTTGGTTGGTTATATTGAGAAAGTTTTTGTTTGCAGGCGCTTTCGCATTTGGAAATGATGGGTTTGGTTACTTCAAGGGTGCCGTTGCCTCATAACATCCAAGAGAATGAACCAATATTCGTCAATGCGAAACAGTACCATGCCATTCTTCGTCGCAGGAAGCATCGTGCTAAGCTTGAAGCTCAGAACAAACTCATCAAAAGCCGTAAAGTATGATCCATTTTTCACTTTTAGTGATTCAATGCAATTTGGTTTACAAAAGCTTGTTATGTTTTGCAGCCGTACCTTCATGAGTCTCGTCATCTTCACGCTTTGAAGAGAGCTAGAGGCTCTGGTGGGCGTTTCCTCAATACAAAGAAGCTTCAAGAATCATCAAACTCTAAGAGCTCGATCAGACCAAGTTCAGACCGTGATAACATGTTCCAGAACACACCGTTCAGATTCTCGGGGTATCCATCAACACACCATGTCTCAGCTCTCATGTCAGAGACTTGAGCCATCTGGGAAGTCATCCTTGGCTATAAAGTTAACTGCTTCTTTACAAAGTTTCTGCTTTCAAAAACTCTGTTTTCATCATCTGCAATCCTCATTCTATATATCTAAGTAACTTCCATATCATTGTCATCAAACTATTATGTTAGTTATAAAATTTTCGGATTCTCTTTAAAGTTTACAAGACGCATTACCTTATCAAATACACAAGTGAGACAAGATTTAACATTTCATCAAGAGTAGTATACGCGCATAGATCCTCTAATGGTCTGGAGACAAACAGGACATTTAGGGTTAACTTCACGTTCCACGGTCAAGGCGCACTGTCTGCAACATACTACATGTCCACAGGGAATGAAAGCAGGAACTCTCCTTCGTGTCACACAGATCACACACAGTGCTCCATCTGGAATATCATCTTCATCTTCTGTCTCATCAGCAACCAATGGTTGTTCTGGTCTCTGTTCGTCTGGACTCTGTTGCTGTTCTCTTTCATGGTGCCGCAGTTTCCATCTATTCCAGGCCCTGAAGATAGAACAGAGTTAGAATCAAAACACTATCTAAATTCAAAACTATATGTGTCTCACTAGCTAAGTACCTGACAGCAGCAAAGCCAAGGATGCCAACAGACAAACATCCCATGATTACACCGCCCCAGAATATGACACTGGTTGTCTCCGTAAGGTCCATTATTATCTTGTCCTTAGTCATCTCCGATCTGCAAATATTATTCAAAAATATTTATACATGGACAGTAAGAGAGCTAGGTATTGTTAAAACTTACAAGAAGTAGGGAAGATCTTGGCAGGATTTGATTTCAGGAACTCCCTTGTTAAAACTACAGATGCCAACAGCTGTTAAATCTCTCCCAGGTGGTAATATCTTTTCTACATCAAGCAGACCAACCTTGGAAGAAGAAATGATCACAAAAGTTAAAAAAGAAAAAAAGGAAATGGAGAAGAACAAGTAAACATCAGATCCTCAAAATATAGACTCACGGGATACTCAGGGAAGAACAAGGCTTGAAGAAACGCATAGGGAGACGAATTAATAGGCTGCAAACGATTATAAACAGTGGTAAGTGGAAGAGGTTGCCTTGCACCATCCATGTTAACAAGGATAAAACTAGACTGCGATGGTTGAGTGTTGTCCACTATAACAAACGGGACCTGCACATGGACAAGGATATATAAATACATACAAAATAAAAACCAAAAGCTGATAAAGAGTGGAATCACCCACCATTCTCATGAAGTCAGCTCCTTGTTTGGGCAAAGATCTTTCCAAAAGAAACCGGTGACCATTTGTCAACTGAAACAAAGTCTTCCATCCACTATACACATACTGTAAAAAAAAAAAATCAAATTGTACAAGATGACATTAGAATGCTTCCACTATATATAGTCTTCTCTTCTAAGTTCTAAGAAGCATTATACAGTTTTCTCTTCTTAAAAGCAACAACTACTAATACATTTATAGACAAAAATGGTTGTCAGCTAATACACCACCAAAAATATGAAAAATACTAATATACAAAACACAACAATACAAAATTAATTAATGAATTATAAACATGATATTTTGCTAACACCATCAATATATAATTCCGAGAGCAGACAATTAGAAACTCCAACTCGTTTTCAAACTATCGAAGTGTAAATAAGATGTTGTTGATACATCTAATCGCCAAATTAGACTAAAACAAAACAATTTAAAAAAAAAAAAAAAACCTAGCTAACATTCGGTTCATATAATTTTCAGACATTACTTCTGTCATGTGTAGTAACAATTAAAACATGACCTAAGAAAGAATCTTTATAGCATTCTGGTTGCAACATAATGCAAAGTGAAAATTGAAACTTGACGTACAGTTTGAGATCTATGAATGATAAGAGCTTTATCTCCCGTCTCCTGAGAGGTCAACACGTTCTTGTCCTTGTGACTCCCTTCACCTCCTGTAACCTTAGCTTTCACCGTTCCTCGAACCACGACGATGCGCTGCTGATCATCGCTCGTCTCGGACTGGTCCTCGGACGCCGGAATCAGTGACCGGAGATCGGAGACGGAGACTTCGGGGGCGTCTTTGATCTTATTCAACGCGGCGGAGGTGGAGGCGTACTTGAAGGCGGCGCGTACGGCGCCTAAAGCTAGGGTTACTCCGAGGATGGCTCCGTCGAAGGATAGAGCGATGTCGATTAGAAGGGGGAAGACGGCGGAACGATCCGGCGAGGACATTTCGGTAATTTCGAATCTCGACAGAAGACAATTCGGGAGGAGGTGAGGTTAATATAGGCGGCGTACTCTTTAACGGGCCCTAAAAAAACAGTGGCCCATTAAAGAGTTTCAAAATGTTCAATGTTTTACAATTTTTATACATATTAAAAAAATTTATTAAATTTTCATTCCCAATACATTATTTTTGGAGAAATTTGCGCTCTTACCAAAACACTTTAACGATATTTGCAAAGTACCAAAGAGAAGGAAACTATCTACTGTTCACTATTGTAATTTTACTCTGCTACCCTCTTATTCTATTGTCCTTCTCACCTGACCAAACCAAAAAACGGACAGACTATGAAGTTGAAATCGGAGTAGTGAGAAATCTATATTTTTTCTTTACATACTCATAATCGTTGTAGCCAACTACTATTAGTTGTGAACTTATAATATATAGGGATGACTCCTACTATAAAACAGTTCCGGCTAGTTAACTAACACGTATTATAGTGTCAGACATACTATATAACCAACTATGAATTAATTTTAACGTCCTAAGTATATGTTGACCGTCCATGTAGGTTGTTAACCGTCCAAGTAGATTTTATTAACTGTTTGTTTACAATTTGGTAATGGATATGGTTTTATTTGATATTGTTGGTTAAGGGTTTAGGTGTTACTATTGCTTAGGGTTTAGAGTTTACTGTTTATGGGTTGGTATTAGGGTTTAGTTTGTATGGTTTAGGGTTTATTGTTTAGGGTTTAGAGGTTTATGGTTTAGGGTTTACTGTTTATGGGTTTAGGATTTAGGGTTTAGGGTTTATGATTTAGGGTTTAGGGTTTAGTTTGTATGGTTTAGGGTTTAGGGTTTAGGGTTTAGGGTGTTGGGTTTAGAGGTTTATGGCTTAGGGTTTAGAGTTTCTTTTGTTTAGAATTAAAGATTTCATAATAGCAACATATAACCTCCCCAAAAAATCCGTCAGATTACCCACAGTTAATACAAATTTTAACCCCCAAAAACCATCTAGTTGAGTTTAACATTTTTCTTAAGCGTCCATTAGCCTTACATTACCCTTATTTCATAAACCATCAACACATTAACCGTCCATGTAGGTTGTTAACCGTCCAAGTAGATTTTATCAACTGTTTGTTTACTATAGCTAGATGGGTTAACATTTTTCTTAACCGTCCATTAATCTTACATTACCCTTATTTCATAAACCATTAGCACATTAACCGTCCAAGTATATTTTATCAACTGTTTGTTTTCTATAGCTAGATGGGTTAACATTTTTCTTAACCGTCCATTAATCTTACATTACCCTTACTTCATAAACCATCAGCAAATTAACTGTCCATGTAGGTTGTTAACCGTCCAAGTAGATTTTATACAACTCTTCGTAGTGTGAACACAATCTTTGCGTTATCTTACCAAATCCACCAAAGATAACAATCTTGTGTCAGACCTGTTTAGATTTACAAGATTTTTGGGAAAGTGTGACTTGCCAAATCTTTTTTTGATCTTCTGTCAGAAGCTGTGACCTGAAGCTAAACCCGGAAAGTGAAGAAGTAATTCGGGCAGGGTGTTTATGTCTTTTTACCATCGCATGATTAAACACGTAAGCACATAGTTTTCCCTCTTTGGTATTTTGCTAATTATGCTATCTTCTTTGAATTTTCAGCTAAATTGCTCTTATTTTTGTAATGAACTATTTTTTATAACTTTTAACTAATAAATTATTAAGAAACCCTTTGAAACTTACAATTCACCATTAGTTAATATATAAAAAAATTTAAAAATGGATCATTTAAAAAAAAAAAAACATTCTATGATATAGAACATATTGAAACAGAGGGAGTAAGAAGTAAGAGCCTCGTCGTGTGATGCACCAGTTTCTTGAGTTACCGTTTATGTGGTCCAAGTGTTGACCGATGCTCAGCTTTACTCAGACCATGCTAACAAATCCACCATTGACTGTAACTATATACATTACATGCATTGTTGACATTTCCTTGCTATTGAGGTTCTTGTCTGAAAATAGATGTGATTTGACTAGTTTCTGATACTTGAGGTTGCTGTCTGAAAATAGATGTGATGCGACTAGCTTCTGATACTTGAGGTTGCTGTCTGAAAATAGATTTGATGCGACTAGTTTCTGATACTTGAGACGTTTTAGGTTTCAGGTACTGCTTAGAGCTCGCTGCGAGGAAGAACAAGATCCCTTTGCCAAAACCCGTTGCAGGAGGGGACTCGTTGTGTTTGTATAAATCGACCAAAACTAGTAGAGAGAGACAACATAAACAACTAGTGTTTTGTATCAACATGTAGAGAATGTAAAAGAGTCAGTTACTTAACATTTGTGTCATAGTGAACCATGGTATAAATGACCAGAGCCAGTTTTTCTCTGTAGCCTATATATGCATATTATATATACACTGTTTTCTTGGAATCAACAAGATACAAAGCTACAACAAATCTTTCCAAAGCAATACACTATATATAACAACTTATATATACATATAAAACAAGGTACCCTGTTTTGACTAACAAACAGAAGAATCTTTTAGCTTCCCCACCCAACCATTGTGCCAGCAGCTACACCGTGAGGACGCGAAAAGCCGAGCCCTCGATCATACATCCGCTGAATCTCCTCTCTGTATTCAGTCAGAGACTTGTCAGGTATGGCCGGAGTCAGCTCCACCACATCTCCCATCTTCAGCTTGCATTTCAGATCACTTACAGGTACCTGGTTTAGCCTTGGTCTTAGCTCTTCCTTTGCCGGGATACTGTACATTGACCATCTTGAGCTCCCTGGTCCTGCTCTGGTCAACAGGTCCGAGACCGTGGAGCTTGCGGGAAACTCTTGCACAGTCATCTGCATTTTCGGGGTTTAGTCTATTATAACTCCAAGACGAGAAGGAGTTGAGAGGATGTTTATAGGGAACTAACTAACCTTGTCGTTTTCGATTACAATGACATAGACTGGTCCTTCTTGGTTACCATTAGGCTTATACGAAAAAGGACAGTCTTCAACGTGAGATGGGAAACTGCAGAGAGAAGATCTGTCTTTGCTCATGGTTTCACAGTGCCAGGTCACAACCCATCTCGCCCATTCAACCATCTGAAGCACAAACGATGAGTGTTTGCAGTCACCTTCCTTGTATCTCCAGTGAGCTGCAAACCCAAACTCAGCTTGCAAATGCATCTCTTTGGTCCGTATTTGAACTTCTCGCGGAATGGTTCCATCTCCCATCACTACGGTATGCAAAGACTTGTACCTATAATATTCAAGAAACCGAAGTTAGCATATCATTTTGGAGCTGCTATGACAGGTTTTGCAGAAGTTACCCGTTGAACTTGGGATGAGTGATGTAATCTTTCAGCTTTCCAGGAACTTCAGACCATAGCTTGTGAACTACTCCTAAGGCCTTGTAACAATCTTTCTCATTGTCAACAATCAAACGTAACCCATGAATGTCATGAATCTCATCCATGGTTAGCTTTTTCCTGACACAAATGAAGAGTCAACATGATCAGTATTCAGATTCTCTCAATCATTTCAGTTAGGCACGTGGTTCGAAATCTTACCGAACTAACCAGAAATAAAGTTTGGAACGGTATTCAGTCAGTTAATTTCAGTTAAATTCAGTTAGTTCAGTTTAAAATTTGGTTAGTTCGGTTCAGGTTTTTGGTTTTGATTATAATTATAATTTTTTTAAGGAAAACCAAAGTAACAAATTGCCGAACCGAAGGCCTAGCAAATCGCTTGGAACCGAACTCCTAACCAGGCTAACCAAACTAACCAAACATTTTGGTTCGGTTCAGTTCAAAATCCCAGCCCTCATCTTAGTGAAAGAAGCACATTTGAGCAAAAGAGGTGAAGAGTACTTACTTCAACATCTTGCAGTAGATACTATACAAGCTCTTGTGCCTTCCAGACACAACATGATAAGAAATGCCTTCTTTCTTAAGCTCTTGTTCCATCTTCTCAATCGCAGAAGTAATCATAGCTTCATCGAACGAATCCTCGAGCATAGTTGACATCTCGTGGTGCTGGTCAGGATGAAGATACTTGAAACAGAGATTCTCAAGCTCAACTTTCCAGCTAGAGATTCCTAACCGATTAGCCAAAGGTGCGAATATCTCCAGCGTGTCTTTAGCAAACCTTTGCTGCTTAACAGGAGGCAAAGCGTAGAGTGTCACCATGTTGTGTAACCGGTCAGCTAACTTAATAAGGACAGCTCTCGCGTCTGCCATTGCAAGGAACATAGTGTGGAGTCGATCTGCTTCAACGGTTTTACACGCGGTGTTGTTCTCCCGAGCAAGTTTACTTAACTGACTGAGCTTAGACACCTAATGCAACAACATAACAAAACGGTAAATTAGAGTCTCAACCATTAAAACAACACCTAATGCAATAACAAGACAAAACACTAATTAGAGTCTCAACCAACGTTCAAGAAATCGCTAGGGGGGGCAACTAAACGCTTTGTATATGCCTAGCGACTATGCAGTTTATTCGAAGCTAGAAGTGGACTAGGAGTTAATGAATTTATTTGTTTATTTACTCAATATTAAATATTTATATTTTATAAATTTATTTTTTAGGTTTAATTATAAAATTATTTTTGATGAACTACAAAAATTTGGTCTACTCAGAATAAAAAACCACAAACTTGTGGACTTACACTAATATTGTTACTTAATCAAAATAGACCATTATGGACCTATATGGAACTGTTTAAACAGATTTGAGTGGCTTAAATAGGATTTTAATAAAATTGTTTTGGCTATACGCGATTTTCTGCCTAAGCGAACGCATAGGTTCAGCCTAAACCAATTTCTAGAACATCAACAACATCTAATCACAAAACAAAACCCTAATCAGAGTCTCAACCATTAAAGAACAAAGCTCTATAGCAAAACATTATCCATGTCTGTTTCTTCTACTTACCCCTTGGACAAGATCAGCAACTCCAGATCCAAAAGTCATGAGAATATAATCATAGCTCATAAACGAATCATCCAAAGTATCATGAAGAATCCCAGCTATCACAACGGTCGCATTAGCTCCAATCTCAGCCAACAAGATAGCAGTCTCAACACAATGTTGAAGGTAAGGATCACCATTAGCTCTCATCTGATTCAACAAAATCCATCACTTAGTAATAAAAACCATACGCCTAGGCAACAAATGGATTCTAGCCGAATTTATACAATTCAAATCGGTTTAACAATTTACACTGATTTAAATTGATCTTAATTAAATCCACAAATTTACCTAATTTCTTTTGTTTTGTATATCTATTTTTGATAATTCATAAAAAAATACTTTTATAATTAAATTTGTCTAATCATTGCCTAGTCAAGGCCTAGCTATTTTTTGAACATCGATAAAAAAGAAACTAAACTTTATGTCTTGATGATACCTGTCCTCTATGAGCTTTCTCAGCTTCATAAAAAGCTTTGATGACAGACTCATCTTCGAAGATTTTGTGTTTCAGCTGAGCACGTCTAAGCAAATCCTTAGCGTATGGCTGTCTTCTCTCTCCTCCTCCTTCTTCATCGTCCATGGAGAATGGTAACTGCTCATCTACGAGAACAGAGTCTGTGTCGTAATCAACACACGAGCCTACTGCTTTCCTGATGAAACCATTGAACATTCTGTTGGACCCAGTGAAGCTTCTCACGGGAGGGCTGTGGAGGACTGAGACAGGGCTTTGGTGGTGGTGGTCTCGTTTGAGGTAAGAAGAAGTGATGAATTTGGTCGGGGAGTAAGAGAAGGAACCGGTTAAGGTGGTTCGATGATCCTCGGTTCGGTCATGGCGTATGGAAGGTAGTTCATCTCCTATGGTTGTTGGGTGTGAAGCAGAAGAGGAGGAGGAGGAAGGGGATGATTTGAAGAGGAGGGAGAGACCACCGATTGTTGTGGAAGAAGATGAGGATTTGGGATTGAGATCGAGGTCGCAGGAGATGGTGATCTGGTGTGGTGTGGAGCATACGGTGCTCGGTGGACTCGCGTAAAGAAGGGCTATGGTCGTTGCTACCACCATTGAAGGCTCTCTGTTTTATTCGAAAATGGAAAGTTTCTGTTTTTAGAAATTAAATTGGAAACCCTAGAAAGGAAATTTTGAATTGGGTTTATAATACACAGACAAAAAAAAAGAAGAACAAATAGTTCTATAAAGACGAAATGAAGGAAATAAAATTTGGAAAATCGAAGAGATTGTTGTGAGAGAAATTGAGATGTTTTTTCGTCTTTCGTCTCTACTTTTTCATTCTAGAACTAGAAAGAAAACCTATCGATCCTTCGTGTTCATTCTTATTCATTAGCGAGACTGAGCATATCAATTACGTAATTACCCTTATAGTTAAACCAGAGATTACTGGATGAAGTAAAGCTGATTACGAGTATTTGTTAACGTCGTAATCCATTAATCCATTATGATATATGAATTACTATTGATAGCTTTTTGTTTGTTGTCGCCAACTAATTTCTAGTACTTTTATCAATCATCGGCACTAATTTACCTAAACAAATAGATGTAAGTATACGTTTTCCAAATTTGGTTACTTGGTAATAATCATCTCGGAATATCTATTTCATGTAATAAATACTTCAAAAATCTAAGATAGTCATCAAAATAAGTTGACAAAGAAAAAAGTCATCAAAATAAGGGATCCACGATGGGGATTCTAATTGTTTTCGTCTGGTTGGGATTTTTTTATATTCAGTGAATCTATTTGGTTTACATGGATGAGGAATCTCTGTTTCTTTTTCCTTTCTCGTTTAGGGAAATGATAATACAAATATCTTGGTTGGGGAAGGAAACACCAAAACATTAAATTAGGTATAGTTTCGATTCTAAAAAAAAAAAAAATGACACAATTCTAGTGTTTCATGAATGATGTTACAGCATCACACCAAATATTTAAAAGTACATTTTGTTTTTTTGGTAACCGTAGGGGTCTCGCGATCGAAGTCAATCAACTAACTTGACAAAATCAATAGCAATCATCTATCCTTACCATTTAAGATAGTCTAGGTAGCCAGCAAAGATCGAACCAGAGTTTCGGCTTATTGAATTTTAATTTTTCACCGGTCCTCGACTAACACCACTAATTATATATTTTTATATTTCATTTCATAATATAGTTAAACTAGTCTCAAAATTACAATTAAAATAAATATGTTGTATTATCATTTTCTTGTAACAAAACTATAAATTAAAGATATATTTTCTTCAGTTAGTAATTTCATTAAATGAACATGATCATTTATATTATATTGTAAGAAAATAAAATATGTTACATATTTTTATAATTTTATTCTTAATAATATGAAGTTTTAATTGTCACCAATATTTTTATAGAAACATAAATTTACAAAACTTTGACAAATAAATATATAATTTATATATAATAAAATAAAAGTTATTCATTTATAAATGATTATAATATTAAAATGATTTAAATTAAAAAAATAATATATATTATTATTGGTGTAAAATTTGGTATTATGGTTGAAGATATAAAATACAATATAACACTAAAATACTAAATTTGGTATCCTAGTTAGACTTTTCCTAATAAAAAATTATCAAAATAAGCATTTGAATATAAAGCAACAACATAGAGAGAAACGAGAAATTTGTAAACTGACACTTGAAAATGGAGTTACCAACATAAAAAATCTAATTTCAAAACTTAAAAAAAAACAATGATACATTTAGTAATTAATTTTATGAAGAATTAAAAACATAACTTATTTTGTTACTATAATATTTTGTGTGCCTTAAATATTTTATTTGGATGACACAAAAAATATTTTATTTGGATTATGGAGCTTTTATATTGACAATTTTTTTTGTTGAATCTTTGAAACTTATATTTTTCATCTTTTTAATGATGGTGAATAAGAAGTTCTCTATTTGGTTTAGTATATGGTAGACACATAAAGATAACTTTTGTGGACATGTAAATTGAAAATTTAATAGTTAGATGAACGCTAGGTGGATATGAACTAGATTCTCGTATTTGGGTACATATGAATAATATATTCTTGTTGTAATTGTACTATTTATATACTTGTTATTTTTTTGTAAATTTATTTTAAAATGAAACAACACACCAAAATTTTTTCATTACTTTTCTATGAATTTTTATTAATATTGATATTTTGTTTTCACGGAAATTGAATTTTAATTTTTTATTTGACTAAATTAAATAAGGTAAGACGATATTTAAAAAAAAAATATCTAATATATATTATATTCTAACTGATATTCCTATATTATCAATAACATCATCAGTTCTGGGGATTGTAACTAATTAATTTAAATTAATTTTAAATGCAGTGAAAAAAATCTGTAAATAAAATGAAATACAAAAAAATATTTAATTTATTGTAAATGCAATGAAAAAAATATGTAAATAAATGAAATATTAAACGGACATTATTATTCATGTTTCCAAGTATACTTCTTTTTATTAGTGTTATCCATGTTTTCAAACAGTACCAAAAGATAATTCAATTTTAGTAATATAGATTGGATAACGAAATTGAATAAAATTTACAGATATTTTACCTCATTTAAGTCTTTATTAGTACATTGAATTTTTTATAATTAATAATGTTGAGAGTACACCAAAACTATATTTTTCTAATTTATAGAGATTATTAATTTATCGATATACTAACTGAACTAAAAACTCAATTTGTGACTATAAAATTATATTATCTTGTAGAGATTTTTATTGTATATTAGTTTATAGAATATTAATTTAAAAAGGTTATACTGTATTAATCAAATATTTATTGTCTTTAGGTTACGTTTTTTACGGGGTTTATAATCTTTACTGATTTCTTCCATTTCTTGGAATTTTCACCTAGGGGGGTGTATTGAATCAATGATTTTAGGAGACTTTAAGTTTTTATTAAAATCTTCTGTTATTGAAATAAGAATTTTAAAAATCTTTCTAAAATATGTAAAGTTACTTGAAATCATTTAAAATCCTCTGTTATTCAAACAACAATTTGTTAAAATCATATCAAATCCACTGTTATTGAAAATGTTTAAAGTATTGGGATTTTAATGACTAAAGAGGATTTTAGAAGATTTCCTTAGTTGAAAATACAAAGATCTAAATCTCATAGTTTTAGATGGAATTTCAAAATATTTTAATACAAAATTATAACAACTACTTTAAAATCACCCAAAACCATCAAAATCATCCAAATTCTTATTAAAACTCAAATCACTCTAAATATCTAGTTCAATTAACCCCCCCCCCCTGGTTTTAGATTCAATTAACCATCAAATCTCATGGTTTTAGATGAAATTTCAAAAGATTTTAATACAAAATTATAACAACTACTTTAAAATCACCCAAAACCATCAAAATCATCCAAATTCTTATTAAAACTCAAATCACTCTAAATATCTAGTTCAATTAACCCCCCCCCCTTAGTTTCTATCTTTCATGGTAGTTTTTAAGTCTTGGTTGTGGTTGTGCTTATTGGCTTTAGCTGTTTTTCTTGTTTAAAAATTGTATTTTCATAATCTTAGAAACTGGCAGCTATATATTGGATTATATATTCCCTTGGACAAAAGGATATATCTTACGAATATCAAAGATTATTTTCAGCAAATAAGTAGTTTCGAAAAAGTAACTTATAAAATAAGCAGTTTCGGAAAGTAACATATGAAATTTTTTTTTTTTTTGACTAAAAAAGAAAAAAAAACATTTCATATGTTACTTTCCGAAAGCTTATTGGCTTTAGCTGTTTTTCTTGTTTAAAAATTGTATTTTCATAATCTTAGAAACTGGCAGCTATATATTCGATTATGTATTCCCTTGGACAAAAGGGTATATCTTACGAATATCAAAGATTATTTTTAGCAAATAAGTAGTTTCGAAAAAGTAACTTATAAAATAAGCAGTTTCGGAAAGTAACATATGAAATTTCTTTTTTTTTTTTGACTGAAAAAGAAAAAAAAAACATTTCATATGTTACTTTCCGAAACTGTACTATTTCGCAAATGATGTTAGATAAGGACTAATATGGAAATTTCAAACACGTTCTATTCAGCTTCTAGGTGCCAACTTTTATTTCTTCACCAATACTACAGTTTTTTACAGGTACTTTGACATTTTGATAAGGACACCGACGAACCCTCGAAGAAGAACTATCACTGCAACAAACACAGTTACAACGTTGCGTTAATTGGACGGAGCTAAAGAAGACACGTGTCTTGCACCTTCGTGACAAGTCAGCATTCACGGTCGGGCTCAGCCTCCGTGACTTGTGGGAGTCGTTTACCTACTTCATAAATCAACGGCCAGAATCTTGAGATTAACGGTATCGCCGTCTAATAGATATACGGACAATACACTGTTCTTACGGTCGCAATTCAGCAATATCAACACCTATTTTTTGTATTTGACTTTCGGTCGATAACAAAACAAAACTTTGTTAAATAAATCAATTAAGAAAACAAAAGGTCGTATTCGTATTACACGCATGTGATATTTTATTCATGAGTTCATATGTACACGTGTAATAAGAAGCCGACGAGTATCATCGAAGAGGGATCTCTTTCTTCAATATAATTTGGGTTAAATGAAAAAAGAAGTGTGTCATTTCGTGAAAACGGAGGGATTATTCTCATAACAAAAATAGTTAGAGGTGATTACGTTAGGAAGTTAGAAGCAAAAGTGTTCAGACTCAGCGTGCAAACTTGAACCACCGGTGACCCAACGCGTTGAACTTGAAATTTTTCTCCTATACGCAACCACGTAAAATGTAACGTACATGCGAAACCATGAATATACTGAGAGTCTGAGTCTCATAATTTTAGTTTAGTTATCCATTTGAGTACAAGTTTTTTTTTTGGTAAACATGTTAAGTATGATTACCATTTTTGATTTGTGACAGAAGGTTACAAGAGAATACTAGTAGCAGATGATTATCTAACTAAAACAAGAAACTAATCTAAACAACACTACTCTAAAACTACACTAACCCACCCTTACCAACGACAAACGCACGGAGCAGGACAGGAGGACAAAGCTAGAGAGCTAACAAGAAGCTGTCCCTGAGACACATCAGCTCACAATAGGTGGTCCACACCGGACCCGGTAGAATGCGGCTTGCCTAGAGTCCGGTTCAGAAGGATGACCTCAACACAAAAGGAGCCATAGTGAACATTGATAGCTTCACTCTGCGACTGCTAGCTAGCAACACGGCAACCACACAGACGATGAGTCACAAGGAAGAGCGATTATTCAGGATGGAGAACTCGCCGAAAGTACCACTCCACCGCACCAAAATCCAAGGAGACAGACCAAACCAGCACCTTCCCCAAGAGAAAGGTCAGAGACACACCCTTGATCGAACCTCCGAGACTGGTTGGGACCGCACGCGCCGCCACAAAGCACATGACTGCGGTAGACAAAGCCACAAATCCTAACTCTACACGTCAATACCACGGAGAACCCAAAGCAGATAACCTTAGACCGGAGCTGATGGCCTCACCGGAAGAGACACCACGAGATCGACCGACAGACCCAAAGAAACCAGAAGACGGAAGAGCCCACCACCGGATCAGACCTGCGAGAAGCGTTCGCCATAACTGAGAAGGAGGAGAGAGGGGCGTAAAAGAAAGCGGCCGCTGTCTTCACACTCAGATCTGGACCCCAGACCGAGCTTCCACCACCTACAAACGACCAAAGAAACCTCGAGCCTCCAGCTTTCCCAACCTCGCCGTGCCTCCAAAGACCAAGACCGACATATCTGAACCGCGGTGACGGCCAAATCCCAGAGCCACGAGCATATCAGAAGAGAGGGAGCGAAGGTGAGAGGCGAGGAGAAAAACAACACAATATTAAAAAGGGGTGGAGACCGACGGCAAAACGCCCGCCGGCCGCCGGAAATCAATTGTAGATATGGGGTTTTTCTTATTGTTGGCGAGAGAGAGGAGAGAGAGTTTTTAACCTTTCAATCTATTATTCTGACTTCTTGAGTACAAGTTTTTGTTACAACTAATACATACATTCTTAAACCCTTGAACTACCAATGTTATGCACCAACAATCTCAATCAACATATAATAATCCTCCATGTGATGAAGCTTCGAGTTTGTTCGACATTTCGACATTGTCGAAATGCAAAGTCCATGCTAAATTCAAGAAAGATTATTTCTCGAATTCTTTTTTCGATAAGTATGTGAACATTCATCAGAATGAGGCGGATTGTACAAGTACAAGGTTCAAAGCGGTTAAACCGATTGTTGCCAAAAAAAGATTTAAAAAAAAAAAAAACAAACGGATTTTATTTTGAATCCATGCTAAATTCAAGAAAGGTAAAAAAAATGTTTATTGCACTATCTCTGGGAAACTCTCTTCTTTCTTGTGAAGATATAGAACAAAGAGGATCACCTGCAATAGGAGCCAACCGGTAAATCTTACCGTAAATACCGTTGAATCAAATCAACTTCCGAATGTCGTTTACAATCAGGTCAAACATTTTTGGGCTTTAATTGGGTTTATGATCAGAAACAAATCACGTCTACTTTTATGTTTAAGGCACATTGCTTACCACTGATATGTTGAGCTATTATTTTTAATCATTTAATCAAGGCTAGTTCCGTTCGTTCTTCTTTCTTTCTTACGTCGACGTTTGGCTTGTCTTTGATTTTATTGTCATACATTCTATGTAGTTTTCTCTTATGACCGGAAAGATTTGATCTTTACCGGCTTTTGGTTCCAGAAATAAAATGGTCCTTGCCGGCTTAGTTATAATAGAATGCTTTTCACCTGTTTTAATATATCAGATGACAAAAAAAAAAACATTGCTACAATATATCAAATCATATTTTCAAAACACTTCCACTACAAGATATTTATATCAGCAATACATATAATCTTATATAATGTTTATCCGGAAATGAAACTGTCTAAATGTTAATTTACTTTGTGATTACTATCTTTGTTGGCTAAACTTAAAAGTGGAAAATTAGCAACGAAGACTATTTCCAAAATGTATTCATCTATTTTTTTGTAAAAAAAATTAGAAAACTCTACTATAGAAATGTGTTTGTCTCCAATATATTCTATTTTCTAAAATAATATTTTAATATATTATATTTATTTATGCAAGCTAAAAACTTGTCCTATTTTAAAAATATTTGCAAATGTTTTATAAGGTTATAATATTATTTTAAACTAAATATTTCTATAATGATTACTATGAAAATAAAAGATAGGACTTTATTTTAATAAAAATGTTGTTTCTCTACAAAAAGAATATTTTATTTATAATTATTAAAAAAAGTTAAGAGATAATTTTGAAATATAAATAATGTCTCTAACAAAGGATAAGTGATATTTCTTCCTCTAGACATGGAATGAAATAGTAATTTCTATTTCAAATAAAGAAATAGAAACGGGTCAGAATAGTTTTTCTTCTGTTATGCTTTTGGAAGTAAACATAGGGGTTGAAAATGACTACTCAAAGTATTATTTAAGCTCGGAGACTAAATTTAACTATTTAAAAAAAATTAACTATTTTACCCACATCATATATTTAATATGAACAAAATCCACCTTATATTATTTATGTTTTTTGAACATACACAAATATGAGATAACTATTTAATGTATTTATGTTATATTAATTTCTTTCTGCTACCAAGAAGTTGTGTGCTTTATGGTTTGAAACTTTAATTTCATAAATTTTTGTTAAAATATAATTAAAGTAGTAAAATTTACAATGGAATTTTTAAAACTGATAATTTAGTCGGTGAGAATATAATATACTAGTTGGAAAACTAATAGCTAATCATCCAAGTTGGTATTGCTTAAGCATAGAGATTCCATAATCTACAAAGCAATCTTCCAATATCTGATTAAATATTTCTAAATTACATTGGGAACCAACGAGTTTGTCATGTAATGAGTGTACAGTATCGATAAAGATCTGAATAATAATGATAGTTATTATTTTTTATCAAAAAAAATGATAGTTATTATTTATTCAGTTCAATGCATAACTGCATTTCCAGCAAAGCATATATTTAACTCATTAACAAGATATCTCCTAATCACGTTACTCAGAGCACACATTTGTACGACTGTAAACTTATGTTTTTTTGTCATAAAAAAAAGGTGGCGGACGTAGTTAAGAGAATTTCTAATCCCACTTTATAATTTACTGCAAAATAGAATGGAAAATGAAGTAATGAACAAATTAAAAAATGCTCTAAGCCAAAGAGGAAAATTATAGAGGCGGGTTGGAGATGCTCTAAGCCAAAGAGGTGGCAACTGCTATGGTGTTATATAGCATACAATTTTCTAAATTTGCATAATATATCCCAAGTCTTAGTTATTTCATCATATTAAATATCATATTCTAACCATGTTTTGAAATTTATATGTAATTTATCTCCATCAAAAGATAATTCTAGATCCGCCACTGTTTATAACGTGAACAATCTTTTTTTTTTTTTTACTTTTGTAACCATTAGTATATGTGGCCTAATCATTATCTTTGTTCACCAAAAAATGTTAGGTGAATGTTAAATAGTTTTTGCGTTCGATAATAACTATATAGGTTTTAAACCATATATGCCGCAAATATGATTCCTGGAAATACGAAATCACAGTAAAATAATAACAAGATACAATTACAACAACAATAAAAGGTTATAAGAACTTATACGAGATTAATAATTTAATGAATGTGATCATTGATACTATACAAGAAAATGCCGTGATCGGTCATGAACTGACATAGAGGCGAAAGAGAGACCAAAACCCGGAACCGCGAAGGACGCCCCTTCAACCGCCATTCGCTTCTGAAGTGCTTCAAGGTCAGCTCCTGCGTCTGCGAACTCTTTCACCAAATTACGATAGAACCCATTGATCTTCTTCACCAGTTTCACGTAGTGTAGTCTCAACCATCTCAGCTTCATCTTCCGCACCATCTTCTTAAACGAGAATCCACCATGTGGCACCACGTTGTTCTTCCCGCCAAGACGCACTACCTGTGACTTACGACGGCGGATATGAATCTTTCGGCGACTTCGAGACCACTGGAACACGGAGGTTGTGGCGATGCGAGGATCCATTTGGTTGGTGAGAGAAGAAGACGGAGAAGAGAGAGGGAGAAATTATGCTCAGAGAGGCACATTCATAAACTAATATATATATACACATATACAGTTTAGTTTTGGGGTCAGTGACCTTGCATGTGACATGTGACATTTTATGTAAAATAATATTTTCAATGTCTGAATGATATACAATACCATTTTTAATGGGATTTGTTAGGATATACAGTTTTGATAAAGATGATATGACCTATATACAGTATATATCACGATACTTTTTGACATAAAACTGGACCACACTTCAAACACTTATGTTTTGTTTCAGTATCTAACTTAGTTAATGGTCTGAGATATTTTTTGTTGAGTTTTCTGTAATTTTTCTTTTCAAAACTGAATTAAATATTTTGAGATCATCATTGATAAACTCCTCATTGAAGATGGTCTAAGTTACCTTAGAAACAGGCAGTACATTTTATGTATTCTTTCTTCCCAATAATATTGTAAAGAAAGGAGCGTTACTTTAGCTTTACAAATTAAAGCTCATGTAGAGAGCATGAATTTGTTTTCATATTCTCTTTATGAATCAATCAAACAATATTTCCTTAAACGTTGGTTTCCTTTTCTTTTCTTATGTATTTTTAATACAATATATATTGTTATGATAAAAAGAAAGAAGAAGAAAAGTTCGATGATTGACTGAGGAGTCTCAGAGTTTGTCTATAACCTGATGTTAATTAATTTGACAATATCTTCCATTTTGGTCCACATAACTTGAATACTATAATCTAACGGATAACTATTTTCTATATGGTAATGTATATATCGTTATCATTGTTTGTTTAGCATACTGTGCGCATTTAACTTGATTAAATGAAAACTTTGTCTAGTTTGCTAAACTTCGAATACAATTTTAAAACCCAAATTAAAGAGAATACTATAATTTAGCGTACTATTTAATGTTTTTAGATCTAATGATTCCCCGCAAAAGTACTAATTGTTATGAACATGTATATAAACCCAAGATCAAACTGATGAGTAATAAGTTTTACTAATAACAACAGAATGCATATAATGTCAGAGTTGGCATTTTGCGTGAACATATCAATAATATATAACATGTTCTTGGATGTCTTGGCCTGAGCTGAGCATACTCAACTATATTATAGTCATTGTACAGTACATATATTAATATATATCTATATGTAATGTTACGAGACGGTGGTATATATATGGATCCAAAATTTTTAGATATATTATAATATAGTTATAACTTCATGCGCAAGAAGGTTCAGTGACATAAGCTGTGACGTAATATGTTTACTTCATCCGCAAGAGAGGGATAATATTAATAAGTTTCTACGACATCATCACTAACCTTGCGCAGTCTCGATACCCATACACATTTTTTTTACATCAAAAAACTGTTCAATTATTCAAATTAAAAGTAGGGAAATGGGACCCTATAACTATACAAAAACCTATAATTAACTAAGTAGCCAACCAACAAATAAAACAACCAACAACCCTTAAAAGTAATCTGAATAGACCGAGAAAAAACAACCAACACAAAAAATTTCTATGAAAACCACGAACTGTTTAAGCAAATGCATCTGATATCTTGTTTTAACTATGTTTTAACTAGTTGCATATTCCCCGCACAAACGCGGAATCATAATCATTGTATTTGTGTGTATTTTTTTTTTATTATTGGTTTAGTGGATTCTTCTAATGACACCGAATAATAATGAAATGGAAAGAATATAGTAAGAGTGTAAAGTGAAAATATTGTATATATAATGTGTTAAATGTTATTTATATGCGAAGTAAGGTTTATAGAAATAGTTAGGCTATAATATAGTTTTTAGTATGTAAAAGTAGGTGTCTATTTTTATTTTTTGCTGTAAATAGTTTTTATATCGTAGGTCGAAACTTGATATAATTCTATATTTATAGTATTTATATTTGTATTAAACGATTTATCAATTTGAAAATAAGCTTAATTAAATTAATATTCGTTGTTTAAGTTTCATTAGATAGGTTTTTATATATGGTTTTTTTGTAAGTTTGGATTTTGTTCATAAATAATGTGACATTTTATCTACGGCGTCATCAATTGTGGGAATCCATTCGCCGGAGTCTGGAGTCGGTGGTAAGGAATGTTTTCAATGAAATTATAGTAGTTATTAAAATGTAACAGAAATTACATATTCATTTAATAAAAAATGAAAATACTTAAATTTTGTAGGTTTTTTTTTTTTTTTGAAACACTAAATTTTATTTTATTTCACATAAAATTTTGTAGGTTTATTTAATTTGTAGGTTTATTTTGTAGGTTTATTTATTTTATTTCACATAATTTTTTTTTGAAAATATATTAGGAATGTGTTAAATGTTATTTATATGCGAAATAAGATTTATAGGAATAGTTAGGCTATAATATAGTTTTTAGTATGTAAAAGTAGGTGTGTGTTTTTTTGCTGTAAATAGTTTTTATATCGTAGGTCAAAACTTGATGTAATTCTATATTTATAGTATTTGTATTTGTATTAAATGATTTATCAATTTGAAAATAACCTTAATTAAGTTAATATTCGTTGTTTAAGTTTCTTTAGATAGGTTTTTATATATGGATTTTTGTAAGTTTGAGTTTTGTTCATAAATGATGTGGCATTTTTATCTACGGCTTCATCGACTATGGGAATCCATTCGTCAGAGTCTGGAATCGATGGTGAGGAATGTTTTCAACGAAATTTTAGTAGTTGTTAAAATATAAGAGAAATTACATATTCATTTAATAAATAATGAAAAATATTTTAATTTTGTTGTTTTTTATTTTATCTCACATACAATTTTTTTTGAAAATATATATTAGGTAATATGTGCAAAAATTTAACTTTTTGAGCTCTTAATCTATATTATTCAAGCCTCATTAAGCCATCCACGTAGGCAGACGCGTGGGACTTACTTTTTTTTTTTGTTTTTTGGTCTGTTCGTTTTTGGATCCATTTTTATTATTTTTGGGTTGAGCTATAGTATAATAGGTTACTTTTAAGGCTTTTAAAGCCATCCGCGTGGGACTTGCTTTTTTTTTTATTGTTCATTTTTGGATCTATTTTTAACTATTTTTTGGTTTGAATTTGTTAAGCTTTAGGGTTTATCCAACTATTTTGATATTTAAACAATTAGCCCCAAAAATAAACATAAAACCTTATAAACAAAAAACCCATATGATAATAATCTAAATAAAAAAATCGAAAATAAATGATAGTTGCGTGGTTTGAACCTACGATCTTGCATGATTAATAGATACTTTATACTATTTGGTTAAAGTGTATTTCATTGTTTGTAATCATCTTATCAAGACTATGTGTTTGAAAAAATACCTACGGAACCAACAAAACTACTGACATGGCACGCTGTGAAACGTAGAAAGTCTATAATATAGATTCCTTGGAACGTGCTTCGAACGCTGAAAACTCCATACCGATATTTACATAACTCTTTTGATCCATTTTGTTATCTATTCAAATAAATGCAATATAATAATTATTTTAATATAATAATAATATGTTACATGTAGTGATAATTAATGCATATATATATATGTATATGTTATCAATTATGATAGTGTGTATGTGAAACTATATTTTGTGGACAGTCATCAAGAAAATGATATTGTATATTTAACTTATGAGTTATGTGTTACGTTGCGTGACAGTTGAAAATCAGATAAACAGATATTTTCTGGATATAGTAATATCGCACTACTAGTCTACTACATGACGTGGTTCAAGTGACAGATAGCAAAACAAGGCCCATAAATCTCTATTTTCGAATACATTTCCATTTGCCCAATCCACGGTTGATATCACATCGGTCTAGATCCAATGGTCCAGATTCATTATCAGCTACATCGTTATATAACTTCAGAAACTGGCTTTCTCTAGCTAAATGGTGTAAACAATAAATAAGGATTAGAAATCTCAAAGCTCGTTACAATGGCATTTTAAAAGCAGCCCAAGGTGTGAACCCAATGGCATAACTGAGCCTGAAGGTAACGAATATCAAATACTGTGTAGTAAGACCGATGCCAATTGCCCATAACCTTGTTCAGAATCCGTGGGAGCATTACAAAAACCCAAAACAATCCTAATATCAGAAACCCTAGCGTGTAGAACAAGCTTATTCTCAGGGATCATGTAACTCTCTGAGTTCTTAGACCAAGCACCAAGAAGCATTGACATACCTAACCCAACAAGTGTGTTGAACATTGGACTTGCGTAGCAACCTGATAAAGCTATCTGCACTGCACGCCATCTCCACCGTTCATAGACAATGTTGTGTTAAGTCACCTTTTGAGTTACCGCAAGCTAGTACGGTTAGTCCGAGTAGATACCACCAAATGTTACCAAAAGAGCAATGATCTTAACCTCTTTATCCGCAACACAGGAAAACAACACCAGCAACAGCACAAGTCACAAACACCGCACCACCAAGGACGCTGTTAAGACCAACCTCGCCTTTGTCCGAACCAACAAAAGCAGCTATACTAGCAAACACATCATGAGCTCTGTTATCAAGTGGAATCAAAGTAACGCCAGCAACAGTAGTAGGCAACTTCGGAAGCTTAGACAGCTCTCAAGCAAACAACAAAAGTAATCAGCAGTAGTGTTACCTAACAGATAAAACAAGGCAACAACACTTAACACGATATAATCCAAGATCCTAAAACCTTTGTAGGTGCAGTAAAACAAGTTGAGGTAATCAAAGAAGCTATCATGTATGTGTCTTTACTTGCTTTTATTCCGGATCTTATTCGGGTTGATTTAGACCTGGAAAAGGAAGCTTAGGACACGTGACAAGAACCGTTTAAAGGACTCAACTAAAACCCTTTTACACTTTCAGGGCGGTAAAGTATTAACTGACGGTAAAGCAATAGAAGGTGAAGGAAACTTTGTGGAGCCTACCATAATCGAGATATCACCAGATGCTGCAATTGTTAAAGGACTTTATATACAAGTAAGGATATGGACAGTCATTTG